GGAGTAAGTGTCTTTTAATTTCATGGCTGCAATCACCATCTGCAGTGATTCTGGAGCCCCAAAAAATAAAGTCTGACACTGTTTCCCCATCTATTTCCCATGAAGTGATGGGACCAGATGCCATGATCTTAGTTTTCAGAATATTGAGCTTTAAGCCAACTTTTTCACTCTCCTCTTTCACTTTCATTAGGCTTTTTAGTTCCTCTTCACTTTCTGCCATAAGGGTGGTGTCATCTGCATATCTGAGGTTATTGATATTTCTCCTGGCAATCTTGATTCCAGCTTGTGCTTCCTCCAGCCCAGCGTTTCTAATGATGTACTCTGCATATAAGTTAAATAAGCAGGATGACCATATACAGCCTTGACGTACCCCCTTTCCTGTTTGGAACCAGTCTGTTGTTCCATGTCCATAAGCATAGAGTTACTCCAATTACACAGAAAGTTCTTTTGTCCATTTAGCCTTCTATCCCCAAAGAATAAACAATGTAGGATTTCATTTAGGAAAAGATTCTTAGGTAGCCTCTAAGATGGTCCATAGTGATCCCTCCACCTTCTTAAAAAAAAAAAAAATTATTTGCCTGTATCAGATCTTAGTTGTGGCATGAAGGATCTTTCATTGAGGTGCACAGACTCTCTAGTTGTGGCACATGGACTCTTTACATATTAATACTTGTGGTGTTGCAGGAAAGTGGACCCTTCCAGGGCCCAAATAGGGCTTTTGTCTAACACTCAGAAATGAATTGTCCATGGAGACGTATGTGCTGACAAAGAAGAGATTTTATTGGGAAGGAGTGCTCAGGCAGAGAGCAGGAGGGTGAGGGAACCCAGGAGAACTGCTCTGCCACGTGGCTCACAGTCTCAGGTTTTATGGTGATGGGATTAGTTTCTGGGTTGTCTTTGGCCAATTCTTCTGACTCAGAGTCCTTCCTGGTGGTGCATGCATTCCTCAGCCAAGATGGATGCCAGTGAGAAGGATTCTGGGAGGTGCTTGAACATGTGTGTCCTTTTGACCTTTCCCGAACTCTTCTGGTTGGTGGTGGTTTATTAGTTCCTAGTTCCTTACAAGGACCTCCTGTCATAAAGTAACTCATGAAAATGGTTACTATGGTGCTTGGCCTGGGTGGGCAGTTTCAGTCAGTGTGCTCTCCCTAACAGTGGCACTTGGCATGCAAGATCTTAGTTCCCTGACCAGGGATCAAACCTGCATCCCTTGCATGGCAAAGGCAGATTTTTAACCATTGGGCTTCCAGGGAAGTCTCCCTTATTTATACCCTTGGATAGCCCCCTCACTTTGAGTGCACCTTGGACCTTGGCGACCTACTCCTAACACATAAAACAGCAAAAATGATAGGATGTCACTTCTGAGAATAAGTTACAAAAAGATTGCGACTTTCATCCTGCCTGCTCTTTCTCACATCCATGTTCTATTGTTTTGACAAAAGTTAGCTGCCATTTTGTGTTGCCAGAGAAGAGTCAATTCTGAATCCATGTTGGAACTGTTTCTTTGACTTGCTTTACATTGTTTTTGTTATTATAATCATGCATAATGGCCTGCCTCAGAGGACCCTGCGCCAAGAAGAGATGGCAAGAATACACAGAAGAACTATACAAAAAAGATCTAATGACACAAATAATCACAATGGTGTGCTCACTCACCTAGAGCCAGACATCCTGGAGTGCAAAGTCAAGTGGGCCTTAGGAAGCATCCCTAAAAACAAAGCTAATGGAGGTGATGGAATTCCAGCTGAACTATTTCAAATCCTAAATATGATGCTGTGAAAGTGCTGCACTCAATATGCCAGCAAATATGGAAAACTCAGCAGTGGCCACAGGACTGGGAAAGGTCAGTTTTCATTCCACTCCCAAAGAAAGGCAATGCCAAAGAATGTTCAAACTACTGAACAATTGCACTCATTTCACATGCTAGCAAAGTAATGCTCAAAATTCTCCAAACAAGGCTTCAATATTACATGAACTGAGAATTCCAGCTCTTCAAGCTGGGTTTAGAAAAAGCAGAGGAACCAATATCAAATTGCCAACATCCATTGGGTCATAGAAAAAGCAAGAGAATTCCAGAAAAACATCTACTTCTTCTTCATTGACTATGCTAAAGCCTTTGACTCTGTGGGTTACAGTAAACTATAGAAAATTCTTGAAGAGATGGGAATACCAGACCACCTTACCTGCCTCCTGAGAAATCCGTATGCAGGTCAAGAAGCAACAATTAGAACTGGATATGAAACATAGACTGGATCCAAATTGGGAAAGAAGTACATCAAGGCTGTATATTGTTATCCTGCTTATTTAACTTATATGCAGAGTACATCATGCAAAATGCTGGGCTGGATGAAGCACAATTTGGGATCAAGATTGCCAGGAGAAATATCGACAACCTCAGATATGCAGATGACATCACCCTCATGGCAGAAAGCAAAAAGGAGCTAAAGAAACTCTTAATGAAAGTGAAAGAAAAGAGTGAATAAGCTGGCTTCAAACTCAGCATTCAAAAAACAAAGATCATGGCTTCTGGTACCATCACTTAATGGCAAATAGATGGGGAAAAATGGAAACAATGATAAACTTTATTTTGGGGAGTCTCCAAAATCACTGCATGTGGTGACTATAGCCATGAAATTAAAAGACACTTACTCGTTGGGAGAAAAGCTATGACAAACCTAGACAGCATATTAAAAAGCAGAGACATTTACTTTGCCAACAAAGGTTCATTTAGTAGTGCTATGGTTTTTCCTCTAGTTATGTATGGACAGGAGAGTTGGACCATAACATAGGCTGAACACTGAAGAATTGATGCTTTTGAGTTGTGGTATTGGATAAGACTCTTGAGAGTCCCTTGGACTGAAAGGAGATCAAACCAGTCAATCCTAAAGGAAATTAACCCTGAATATTCCTTAGAAGGACTGATGCTGAAGTTCCCATACTTTGGCTACCTGATGTGAAGAGATGGCTCACTGTAAAAAACCATGATGCTGGGAAAGATTTAAGGCAAAGAAGAGGGCAGCAGAGGATGAGATGGTTAGATAGCATCACTGACTCAACAGACATGAATTTGAGTGAACTCTGGAAGATAGTGAAGGACAGGGAAGTCTGCCATGCTTCAGTCCATGGGGTTGCAAAGAGTTGGACACGACTGAGAGACTGAAATATAAATGCCTCACTGTTAAATTAAAGTGACATTGTTCAGCTCACAGAGAGATATTCTAACCCTGCCCACCTGTGAATGGCTGCAAGAAAGAAAAGATGAAAACATCCCTTCCAGAAGCTGGCCATTCCCAGAGATGTTTTGCAAGACTGATGGCCCTTTTCACTTTACTTTCTCATTGTCTCTCTCTCTCTATTCTGTCTTCGACTTTAGCTCTTCAACACTTCTCTCTGTGGTTCTATAAAAAACCGGGCATCCAGGCTCCTATAAGATGGCTATTTGGTGGCTCAGCTGGTAAAGAATCCACCTGCAATGCAGGGGACCTGGGTTCAATCCCTGGGTTGGGAAGATCCCCTGGAGAAGGGAAAGGCTACCCACTCCAGTGTTCTGACCTGGAGGATTCCATGTAGTTAATAGTTATAGTCCATAGGGTTGCAAAAAGTCGGACATGACTTAGTGACTTTCACTTTCACTTTTAGACATTAGTCTGCCATCTCCTTGGCCAGATGGCTTTCTGAATAAAGTCGTATTCTTTGCCTCAACAGCTCATCTCTTGGAATTATTGTCCTGTCGTGTGGCAAGCAAAGTGAGCTTGGAATTGGTAACTGTTGTAGAGAATGAAGAGACCTGCATGGCCAAGAACTGAAACAGGTTCCAGGCCAATGCCTATAAGGAACTGAGGCTCTCAGCCAATCTAACAGTTTGAGAAGCCTGAATCCTGCCAAAAATCACATGAGTGAACTTAGAAGTGGATATTTTCAATCAAGCCTTCAGGTGAGACTACAAGCTCAGCCAACACTTGACTACAGCCTTATGACAGACCTTGAGGAGCACCCAGTTAAGCCACTTCCAGACTTCTTACCCACAGGACTATGGCATAGCAAATGCTTATTGTTTTGAGCCCTGCACGATGACAACAATGTATGCAAGGATCTAACAATGAGCTGATAGTACATTCCAAATATACAAAGTTGGTAGGTTGTACTGAGTCATAAATGAAGAAAGAGAGGCAGGAAGCAAAGTTAAGGTCAAACTGACCCAGGAAAAGGTTAAGGCAGAAAAACAAGGCCATACAAATGTTAAGTGCAAAGCCAAATACAGGTGGAAACTGAAGGACAGTCTGAGTACTATGCTGGGATTCTTTAGAAGGCATATTCTGGCCAATTCAGTTCAGTTCAGTTCAGTGGCTCAGTCGTGTCTGACTCTTTGCAACACCATGAATCGCAGCATGCCAGGCCTCCCTGTCCATCACCAACTCCCGGAGTCCACCCAAACCCATGTCCATCGAGTCAGTGATGCCATCCAGCCATCTCATCCTCTGTCGTCCCCTTCTCCTCCTACCCCCAATCCCTCCCAGGATTAGGATCTTTTCCAATGAGTCAACTCTTCACATTAGGTGACCAAAGTATTGGAGTTTCAGCTTCAACATCAGTCCCTCCAATGAACACCCAGGACTGATCTCCTTAGGATGGGCCAGTTGGATCTCCTTGCAGTCCAAGGGACTCTCAAGAGTCTTCTCCAACACCACAGTTCAAAAGCATCTTCGGGGCTCAGCTTTCTTCACAGTCCAACTCTCACATCCACACATGACTACTGGAAAAACCATAGCCTTGACTAGATGGACCTTTGTTGGCAAAGTAATGTCTCTGCTTTTAAATATGCTATCCAGGTTGGTCACAACTTTCCTTCCAAGGAGTAAGCGTCTTTTAATTTCATGGCTGCAATCACCATCTGCAGTGATTTTGGAGCCCCCAAAAATAAAGTCTGACACTATTTCCACTGTTCCCCATCTATTTCCCATGAAGTGATGGAACCAGAAGCCACAATCTTAGTTTTCTGAATGTTGAGCTTTAAGCAAACTTTTTCACTCATTTTAATTAGTCCAGCACTTATATTCATGGGCTTATATTATAGGGTTTTCCTGGTGGCTCAGAGGTTAAAGAGTCTGCCTGCAATGCAGGAAACCTGGGTTCAACCCCTGGGTAGGGAAGATCGCCTGGAGAAGAAAATGGCAACCCACTCCAGTATACTTTCCTGGAGAAACCCATGGACGGAGAAGCCTGGTGGGCTACAGTCCATGGGGTTGCAAAGGGTTGGACACGACTGGGTTGGCAGGGTTGGCAACTTCACTTTCACTTTCACTTTATATTCATGGAGAAAGGGCAAGTGTTGATGATATTCACCATGGAACAGAAATGCTTCTTGGTAATTGTACGCAATTGTTGATTTTAGTATTTGGGGTCAAATTAGAAGATTTTTGTTGATTATATTCTTAGGTGTTATTTTATTAGCTTAAAAGCTATTTAATCTTAAATTAATTTTCTATAGTTCAGTTTTCTCATATATACAGTATAAACAAGGACAATGTAACTTCCTGGTTTATGGTGAATATTAAATTTTCATTAATGAGAGACAATGAGTATGGGTTAATTAATAAACAGTGTACTTTAATCTGACCTGAAAAATTAACTATCCATACATTTTGTTTTCTCTGAGATTCTTTGAAACATCTAAAAAGAACTGAGAGATTTCCTTGATGGTTCAGTGGTTAAGACTCCAGGCTCCCAATGGAGGGGGCATGGGTCAATCCCTGGATGGGGAAATAAAATACTGCAAGAGGTATGGCACAGCCAAAAAAAAAAAAAGGCTACAATGTGAAAGTGTTAAGGAACACAAGTTCATGTGCTTCCTGCACAGTAAGGCCAAACAAACCAAACCATTGAAGTTGGGAGCTAAGAAAGGTTTATTGCAAGGCCAGCCAAAAAGATGAGTGGCTCCTGCTCCAAAAAACCCAAACTCCCAGAAGGATTTCAGCAAAGCAATTTTGAAGGCAAGTGAGGCAGGGGTGAGGTTGGTTGTTGCAGACTTCTTGGTGCAGGAATTCTTTGTTCTTGCAGAAGTCCGAGAAGGTCAGGTCATGAAGTTTCCATAAATCTCCAACAAGACAAATGTTATTCTCTGTTTTGCAAATTTTTACGTCTATGTGAATGGAATCTTAAAGATCACAGCCTTGAGAATAAGATGTCCTGTATATTTCAGGCTGTATGCAACATTATTAACTCAAAGCAAAAGCAATAGAAAATAAAAGTTAAAGTAAAAGAAAACAAAACAGATATGATATAGAGTCAGATTTGTTCTCTATAACAAAAGGCCTGGGGCTTCCTTGGTAGCTTAGCAGAAAAGAATCCGCCTGCATTGCAGAAGCCAAAGAAGACAGGGGTTCGATCCCTGGTGAGGCAGACACCCTGGAGGAGGGCATGGCAACCCACTCCAGTATTCTTGCCTGGAGTAGCCCATGGGCATAAGAGCCTGGTGGGCTACAGTCCATAGTGTCGCAAAGAACAGGACATGACCGAAGCGACTTAGCATGCACACACGCATAACAAAGGCCTAGTGAAAATCTAGAAAACTTTCTACTATTTTTCATCATAATTCATTTTTCATTGTTCAGTGAATACAATCTTAATTCATAGTAGTATTATTATTTTAATTATGAAAATATTCCCACCACCAAGTCTATTAAAACATTCATAATCTCACCTTTTTTTTATGATCTGAAGGTTTTTACTTACTTATTTTTATTGAAGTATAGTTGATTTGAAGCTTTTGAACTGTGATGTTGGAGAAGACTCTTGAGAGTGCCTTGGACTGCAAGATTTAACCAGTTGATCCTAAAGGAAATCAGGCCAGAATATTCATTGGAAAGACCGATGCTGAAGCTGAAACTCCAGTACTTTGGCCACCTGATGGAAAGAACTGACTCATTGGAAAAGACCCTGATGCTGGGAAAGATTGAAGGCAGAAGGAGAAAGGGAAGACAGAGGATGAAATGATTAGATGGCATTACTGACTCGATGGACATGCGTTTGAGCAGGCTTCTGGAGTTGATGATGGACAGGAAGACCTGGCGTGCTACAGTCCATGGGGTCTCAAAGAGTCAGACACAACTGAGCAACTGAACTGAACTGAACTGATAGTTGATATACCATGTTGTGTTAATTTCAGGTGTTACAGCAAAGTGATTTAGTCATATATATATATATATATTGACATATATATTTTTGCCAGATTTTTTTCCATTACAGGATTCCCTGGTAGCTCAGCAGGTAAAGAATCTGCCTGCATGCAGGAGACCCCGGTTCAATTCCTGGGTCAGGAAGATCTGCTGGAGAATGGACAGGCTACCCACTCCAGTGTCCTTGAGCTTCCCTGTGGCTCAGCTGGTAAAGAATCCACCTGCACTGTGAGAAACCTGGGTTCAATGCCTGGGTTGGAAAGATCCCTTGGAGAAGGGAAAGGCTACCCACCCCATTATTCTGGCCTGGAGAATTCCATGGGCTTAATAGTCCATGGGGTTGCAAAGGGTCGGACATGACTAAGCAACTTTCATTTTCACTAAAGTGATATCACATGATGTTTGCCTTTTTCTGTCTGACCTACTTCACTTAATATGATAAACTCTAGGTCCATCCATATTGCGGCAGATGGAATTATTTCATTCTTTTTAATGGCTGAGTAACATTCTATTGCATATACATACTATCCACGTCTTCTTCACCCATTCATCTGTCAACAGGCATTTAGCTTGCTTTCATGTCTTGGCTATTGTAAGTAGTGCTGAGGAGGTTGTCTGAAGAGGCCTTACAGAGAGTTAAGAGAAGGAAAAGACATTAGAGAAAAGGAAAGATATACCCATCTGAATGCAGAGTTCCAAAGAATAGCAAGGAGAGATGAAGCCTTCTTAAGTGAGCAAAGCAAAGATAGAGGAAAACAATAGAATGGGAAAGATTAGCGATCTCTTCAAGAAAATTAAATGCGAAGGAAACATTTCATGTAAAGATAGGCACAATAATGTACAGAAATGGCATGGACCTAGCAGAAGCAGAAGATACTAAGAAGAGGTGGCAACAATATACAGAACTGTACAAAAAGGTCTTAATGACCCTGATAACCACGACGGTGTGATCACTCACCTAGAGCCAGACATCCTGGAGTGTGAAGTCAAGGGGAGGTCCTAGGAAACATCACTACAAACAAAGTTAGTGGAGATGATTGAATTCTAGCTGAGTTATTTCAAATCCCAGAAGTCAAAGTGCTACACTCAATATTTCAGCAGACTTGGAAAACTCAACAATGACTACAGGACTGGAAAAGGTTAGTTTTCATTCCAATCTCAGAGAAGGGCAGTGCCAAAGAATGTGCAAACCACTGTACAGTTGTGTTCATTTCGCATGCCTGTATGGTTATGCTCAAAATCCTTCAAGGTAGGCTGTAGCAGTACGTGAATGAAAAACTTACAGATGTACAGTTGGGTTTGGAAAAGAGGAACCAGAGATCAAATTGCCAACATTTTTTGGATCATAGAGAAAACAAAGGAATTCCAGAAAAACATCTTCTACTTCATTGTCTATGGTAAAGCCTTTGATGTGTGGAATCACAACAAACTATGGAAAATTCTTGAAGAAATGGGAATATCAGACCACCTTACCTGCCTCCTGAGAAACTTGTATGCAGGTCAAGGAGCAACAGTTAGGATGGGACATGGAACAATGAACTTGTTCAAAATTAGGAAAGGAGTATCTCAAGGCTGTATATTTTCATCCTGTTTATTTAACTTATATGTAGAGTACATCATGTGAAATGCCAGGCTGGATGAAGCTCAAGCGGGAATCAAGATTGCTGGGAGAAATATCAATAACCTCAGATATGCAGATAACACCACCCTAATGGCAGAAAATGAAGAGGAACTAAAGAGCCTTTCCATGAAGGTGGAAAAGGAGAGTGGAAAAAAAATTAGCTTAAAACTCAACATTCAAAAAACTAAGATCATGACATCCAGTCCCATCATTTCATGGCAAATAGATGGGGGGGGGGGGGGGGATGGAAACAATGAAGGACTTTATTTTCTTGGGCTTCAAAATCACTGTGGACAGTGATGCAGCCATGAAATTAAGACAGTTGTTCCTTGGAAGAAGAGCTATAACAAATCAATACAGCATATTAAAAAGCAGACATTACTTTGTTGACAAAGCTCTGCATAGTCAAAGCTATGGTTTTTCCAGTAGTCATGTACAGATGTGAGGGTTGAACCATAAAGAAGGCTGAGCCCTGAAGAACTGATGCTTTCGAATTGTGGTGCTGGAGAAGACTCTTGAGAGTCCCTTGGACAGCAAAGAGATCAAACTAGTCAATCATAAAGGAAATCAACCCTGAATACTTTTTGGAAAGGCTGATGCTGAAGTTGAAGCTATGATATTTTGGCCACCTGATGTGGAAAGCCACCTCATTGGAAAAGATCCTGATGCTGGGAAAGATTGAGGGCAGGAGGAGAAGAGTCAACAGAGGATGAGATAGTTGGATGGTATCACTGACTCAGTGGACATGACTTTGAGCAAGCTCCAAGAGATGGTGAAGGACAGGAAAGCCTTGTGTGCTGTAGTCCATGGGGTTGCAGAGTCGGACACAACTGAACAGCTGAACAACAGCAACAGGAACATTAAGATGCATGTGTCTTTTCAAATTAGCGTTTTTGTGTTTCCTGGATATATACCTAGGAGTGGGATTGCTGGATCACGTGGTGACTCTGTTTTTAGTTTTCGGAGGAACCTCTATGCTGTTGTCCTTGTTGTCTGTACCAATTTATTAATATATTCCCACTAACAGTGGGCTTCCTGGTGGTTCAGACGGTAAAGCGTCTGTCTGCAATGCTGGAGACCCGGGTTCGATCCCTGGGTCAGGAAGATCCCCTGGAGAAGGAAATCGCAAACCACTACAGTACTCTTGCCTGGAAAATCCCATGGACAGAGGAGCCTGGTAGGATACAGTCCATGGGGTTGCAAAGAGTCGGACATGACTGAGCGACTTGACTTGACTTTACTTTTAACAGTGTAGGAGGATTCCCTTTTCTGTATACCCTCTCCAGACATCTTTGCATGTGCCTGTTGGCCATCTGTATATCTTCTATGGAGAAATGTCTATTTAGATCTTCTGCCCATTTTTTGATTGGGTTGTTTGTTTTTTTGATATTGAGTTGTATGGGCTGTTTGTGTATTTTAGAAATTAATCACTTGTCGGTTGCATCATTTGCAAATATTTTCTCCCATTCTGGAGGGTCTGTTTTCATTTTGTTTATGGTTTCCTTTGCTGTGCAAAAGCTTTTAAGTTTAATTAGGT